TGTGTGTTTTGTCCACATGCATGTGAATGCATTATGTGTGTATAGTGTGCATGCAGGCCATAAGAAGATATAACATCCTTAGAACTAGAGTCTCAGAGGGTTGTTAACCACTATAAGGGTTCTGGGAACAAATCCTGGGTATTCTGCAAAAGCAGTAAGTGCTGTTAACTGTAGAGCCATCTATCCCGCCCTGCTATAAGGTTTTGTTTAAATATGCAAATAGAAAGAAACATAGGTGGCATTGCTTTTTTATTACCAGTAAAAGCAAAAATGAGTGATAATGTGCCATTTAGCAGACCCATGGAAGGATGAGAGATCGATTCTGACATTAAAACCATCAAACTTAAATAAATTTTAGCTAAAATCATCTTTTGTCTTTATTTCCAAATTTTAGCAGTGGTTAGATGAAAACATATAAAACAGGTAGTGATTCAGCCCAGTTTCAAAATAAAAGTATCCTTGTTATCTTTATCATAGGACTATAACATCAGTAAGACAACCTAACACCATGTCTCTGGTACATTCTTACAAACTCATAAAAGTACTCGAAATATTGCAACTCGTAGTAGAACAAATGGTACCAGGACACATTTTTCTTGAAAGGTCATGACTGATGACAGTATATTCCGTTTTCTTAAAGCAATGAAGTGTTAAGAACCACAAGTAGAACATCCGTTAGGAGGCACACACATAAAGAAAAGTAATTGCCCTTATCCTAGCAGCTGTCAATCACCAATGGCTCCTCAGTTGTAGGTGGGACTGTTTGCCTATCTACCCTTATGTTGTCACTTTATCTAGATTGACCATGAACAGGTTTGGTGCATACTGTCATAACCACTGTGAGTTCATACGTGAAACAGCCATGTTAATTCTGGGAATCAATGTTTTGTTGAAATTATCTTCTTCCTCTGGGATACTCATACACCTAAGAGCATATGAACAATACAGCTATTTGTATTATTATTTTTAATGAAGACATAGAGTTGGGTTGGTATGGAAAGGGGTGGATTTGGAAAGAACTAGAAAAGGGTTGAGTATAATCAAAATACAGTGTATGAAATTCTCAAAAAATCAATAAAAATCACAAGTGAAAACGAAAAAAACACCTAATGCTCAATAAAAAATAGTTAAAAGCTAAGGAGTCCTTTCAGATTGGACTTTATGAAGGAATCTAAATTTAAATATGAGGAGTGATTTCATAAACTATTTCTATTCATTCAACCTTCATAAATTAAAGATTTTTTTCTTTCTATGACAAATCTGCATGTCATCGTGAAGACAGAGCACTTGCAGCATAGACGGACTTAATGGACAGAGAACTTTGCTTCACCCTGTCCTTTGATTGAAATAGTAGACCTTCTGAATAACTACAGGGCTGACAACTAGGGATAAACAGTTACTTGCATTCAGTAATGATACTGTAAGTTATAGTAGTCATTTGAATTGAGTTTGACTAATGCTTTCTTTCTGTTCTCCAAAGAAAGAGACCTAGGAGCTTAAATTTATTCTACCACTCAAAGATCAACTTAAATCTAATTATTTTCCAATAAACAAAGAAAACAATTGATCACAAATGTTGGGCATACTTTTATTGTGATGTAATAAACTATCTTGATCTCAGATGTAATTGGTTTATAATCTGAATGTTGGAAATTCAGAAGTATTTCTAGGCTGTTGAAGAGAAGACTGATATTTAATTGGTTTAAAACTATTTTTAGACACAATTTGTTAATTTTTATTTTTTCTCCAATTACCATATACCCCATTTTATGGTAAATTATGCACTGTTTCATACATTTCTCTCCCATCTGGAAATTGTATAGCAGAAGTTAGATAGGCGTTTTAGACAGACACAATGTACCAACCAATTGGCCTGGAAATGCGATGAGGAGTAACTAGCAGGATCTTGAATAAAAATGGAGTACTTAAGTGAAATTTTCACATAATTAATTTTGGTTGTAGGCAAAAATATCTCAGATGACGTTTGTTGAGGGATGGCAGCGAGAAGATATCTGAATAATATAGCCTTTCTAAAATGCAGCTGAGAACCAAGTGCACTTGGAAATAAACTTAAAGATGTAGAATTGATATATAATTTAAAGCATATTAAGTAGCTACATTTTATTTGTAAGCAATAGGGATGTCTCTTGTACATAAAGGCAGGTAGAAATGAGGAAATTAGTTAACAGATGTTGATAAAGCAAGACCTTCACCAAGGATGATGGTGACAGAACTAAATGAAAAGCTGAATTTGAAAAGGATTATACTAGGAAGTGAAAACAGAGCTGGGCAGATGATCAAATATGAATCTCAGCAGAGAGGATTGGGGGCACATTCTGAAATTTTATATGTAATAGATTCAAAAATGCTGTCCTATAAGAAGCAAAAATTCAAAAATCAGGTCAATTATTTTGATGTGGGTTGGGGACATACAGCTCAGTCATAAGGTGCTGGGTATTATCAGTACCACTGGGAAAATAAAAAGTGAAGTGCCAGGCCTGGTGTTGGTAGTGCATACCTTTGATTCCCCACATTTGCACATTTGGAAGCCAGAGGCAGGCAGGTGGATCTCTGTGACTTCAAGGCCAGCCTGGGGTACACAACAAGTTTCAGGACAGGTTTTCAAACATACACAGAGAAATCCTGTTTTGAAAAACCAAAAAAACAAAAACCAAATTTTTTTTAGATTAATGAAGCAAAAGGAGACAAGAAACATAGGGAAGAACCTTGTCTAATGCTAATATAAGTGGCTGAAGAAATGGAGCAATTAAGGATTGGCTAATGTCTGCTAATATAGAAAAATGTTGAAATTAAAGACTTGAGAAAATTTTAAGCCAGAGAAGGAAACAGTGGAACTAGTAGAAAACCCACACAAGAGTATATGGAGCAATATTTAGCCATTGGCATTAGTAGTTACCAGGCCCCCATACAAAGAAGAGCACAGTTGCAAGAAAAGAACAAAACCAGTTGCCTTTTTTCTAATTAGTGCAGATTTTGATACTGCCATGGGATTTGGACCTCTGCTTCATCAACTTGTTTTTAATCAGTCACACTTTCATCTAAAACAATTAATCAAACACTCATCTCGTTTCTAGTGGTTGAATGGCTAGTTTACTGGAAAACAACTAAAAATACTTATATATTGTACAAATTACTTTTATTCTAAAACCAAGCTAAGTTTTTCCTCAAACAACTTTATTTCTCTTTTTAAAATTTAATTTAGAATCAAACTTGATTTACACATCAATCCCAATCTCCCTCCCCTCCTCCCCTGTCCCCCACTGAACTGACCCCCTAACCCATCCCCTTTCTGCTCCCCAGGAGAGTGAAGCCTTATATGGGGAATCTTTAAAGACTGTCATATCATTTGCAGCAGGGCCTAGACCCTCCCCCACGTGTCTAGGCTGAGAGAGTATTCCTCTGTGTGGAGTGGGCTCCCAAACTCCATTCATATACTAGGGATAAATACTGATCCACTAGTGAGGCCCCATAAATTAACCAGACCTCCAAAATGACTTCATTTAAAAGAGTTAAGCTGGGAATGATGGTGGATACTTATAATCTAACCACTCAGAAGGCCAAGGTAGGAAGATCAGGAGTTCAAAACCATCCCCAATACATAATGAATTTTAAGCTAATATGACCTATATAAGGCATTGTATAAAAACAGTGACAGCAACAACAAAATAAGATCTGAAAGAAACAAACAAATCCAAAGGGAAGAAAGAAAGAAATCACAGAAGAACGGGAGGAAGAAAGATGGGCAGAAATGCAGTAAGTTTCAGCTTCAAATCAATTATATTTGAGTTCTTTGTGCATGCCTTTGCTGATCTTTCCTTCTACTATTCATGAATTATAAATTCCCTGTGAAATGTTACAACATCAGACAAAACAGATAGACAAACCAGAAAACAAGAACACACCCAACCAAGGAAACTCTTCTGTGACACTAAAAGGATGTATTTTATATCAGTACAGTTTGATATTCATATTGGTGGCAGGGAAACCTGCGGATAGGCTCACATCAGGATTCAGGGGTTTGCTTGGGAGATACTATGATGATTCACACTGAGGAGACTATGAAGAGGTGCCTGACTTTAGAAAAGACAGTGTAGTATTTTCCTGAAGATATGTACCACATCATAGGGCAATTAATTGGACATTTGGAAATTGAACAGTTTTAAACAAAAATTAAATCATGATTGTGAGGATTTAGTGTGTTTATGAAAGAAAAATCGGCCATAAAATCCCTCTTTGTGTATTTATGAAAGTGATTTAATGCAAATGAATGCACAGTTTATGACTGATATCTCAAATATAATCTAATTGTTATTTTGAAGAATTTTTTCTAAATAAAATGGTCCAAACATTTATAGCATCTAGTGATGTTTATTCATCCACTGAAGCAGCATCACTTGTGAAACTACTGACAGTTCCCAGAAATATCACACTGTGGTTCTGAATGTGTAAAAGAGGTACCTAATGCCCAGCAAGTTATCAAAAGAATTAATTGTTGGAGACTTCTATTTGTTTGCTTCTTTTATGGGTGATTCTCAAGTCGGAGTTGATATGATAATATTATTGTATCACTTAATTAGTTGATATGATATTATTGTATCACTTAATTTCAACTATGTAGAGATGAAATGGGTACCGTTGTCATGAATTAAACCATTTTTCTCTTTTCTTCTTAGTAACAAATATTGTTTCATCAATATAGAAAGGAGAAGAGAACCATACACTCAGCATTTAGGAATGCCATTGTAAAGGCAAGCACTGTTAATAGCAAACTATGATAATAACAAACCAATTTAAAGGGTAAGATCTCGATGCCTGTCTTTAATTTTATCAGCCAGAGAGGAAACCATTTGGAGCAACAGCAGGGGTCTTCAGGGATAGTGAACATAGCTGAATTTGGAATTCGTCTTAATATTATAAATTAATTTTCATAGTGCATCATACTTATAACCATCTATGGGGAAATAGACTCTACAGGGAAAGCTGTTGCTTTGTAAAATAATCTTTTGACAATATTATCATTATTAGTGAGGAGTGCATCAATTGAAATGGAAACACATTACTTTCAGAATTACCTTGTTTATTTTCAATAGTGTTTATTCATTTCCAGTACTAGGTCAAATCATTGTCTAGATTATTCCTCTGCTCTAATTGCAGATACTACTGCTTGTCCATTGAAGGCTCTCCCTTTGCTGATACTCTATAGCATTTTTGTTATCCAAATGTTTACCCATTTCCTTGAGCTGAACATTTACTCCAAGCATGGAGGGAGCAGTAACCATAGTAGCCCCCATGCTTATATAAAGTTTTGTGGAAAGATGCAATCTTACTGAAGATAACAAAGACATTATGGCATAAAAATAGCACTTAGAAATATTTGCTTCATTAGAGTCTTTTTCTAGATTTTTAAATTAATTTTTAAATTTAAGTGAAAACAATCTTATTTTACATACCAATCCCAGTTCCTTCTCCCTCCAGTCCTTCTCATTTCCCACACTATCTCACTATCCCACACCCATCCACTTCTCAGAGAGGGTGAGAACTCCCGTGGGAGATCATCAAAGTCCTTCACATCTTTATTAGTGTCTTAGTCTTCTCATTTTCTTGTGTTACAGGCTCTGGACTCTACATTTGGCATATATCATTATATGGAATCCTTCAGAGCAACCCTGAGGGATAAAGAAGAAAATTAGAACCCACACAGTTATATATCTTGTCCTAAATCATATATCTAGTAGAGATTGAATATGAACTCTATCTGCTTCAAAGGAAAAACGGAACCTTTTATAAATTGACTCTCTGGGGCAGAGTAGGCAGAAGTAGACAGGTTTTATAAAACACCAAGTTAGGAGTCAAATCTTCAGTTCCTTGTTTTGTTGGCATTCTAATTAAGAATATATTCTTAGTCTTTTTGTTTCCTAAGTACTTACCTACATATTCTTTATCTAATATCTCATATTTTTATTTTACTTGCCTAAATATTTGACTGAAGTAAATATTTATATCCCAAATTAATGTCTTCTTTTCACCTGTTATTTTAGACATGTCTACACTGTAGCAGAAAATAAATAAAATGCAGGGTGTACTTTTGAATTTCAAAGAACTTAAATCCAGAAGTGATCCTGGAAACAAATGCAAATAGTAACAAGAGCAAACATTGAATGGGAGGCATATTGAGTATGTACATTGCTTTAGGAGATGTTAAAAACTCAGATTTAGAAAAAAGGGGGGAGGAATGGGCAGAAAGTAGAGGATGGCCAATGAAGTGAATCTATTTATGTATGGACATGTTTACCAAAACCCATGGAATGCATTAACTGAAAACTCTAAATTTTAAGATATGATTCTAGTGCTAAAAACACACCAGTGAAGGCTCAAAATTTCTCACAAATGTTCTTGTGGAGAATGGTGTTGATCATGGAGTTGCCTATTCATAGATCAGGGCAGGCATTGAATGAGAAACCTTCTACTTAGTTTTGTTGTGAGCATGAGTGTTGCAATAAAAATGCATTATGGTAAAAGCAACAACACCAAAAGAAGAAGAAACATCACAGAAAACTAAGGAATTTATTTTCATATAGGATTTAAATGAAGGTAGAATATTCACAGCTGTACAGCTAGAATGGAAGACATTTTATCTCTTGTGTCTGTACATCAGCGTGCAAGGACTTTATTGACTGAGAGAGAAGAGGCTAGAGAAGAGGAGGTTGTGGTACAGAGTGCCTCGACTACCTTCAGCTGATTTTAACTACTTGAGAAAGTCATTGATGGTTTTGACCCAGGAAATTGTATTTTGGATGGATTGATTTAACATGACTCCAGAGAAATAATATAGAATGGCTAGAAAATTCATTGATAGATTCTGAGCAACTGATAGCAGTTTAAATAATGGAAAGAAGAATGGATAGGAGCAACAAGAAATTTAGATAAGGTAAGGCCGAAATTCCTAAGAAAAATGGGCAGAGCAAGAGTTAGGCGAGACAGCTATAGGCGGTTGCAAAAAAGATTCTCCAGGTGCCAGTTTCGAAGAACACAAATACTATTCCTGAAAATGACGTGTTTTACTAAACTGTGAAAGGTCTGACTGCTTTTTCTAGGACTACCTATAGAATGAAACCAGGTTAAATAAAAGTTGTGTTACATTATACTGACTTTATATACTGTATTTTTGTGTATAAAATACACACAATAATACTTTGAAGGGAAATTTCAAGAGTTAATGACACTTGGTATCGATACTGAACTAGATATAATGACTTCAGTGTTGCTGATAAAAAGTTATGAGATGATATAAATTATCACTATAATCATGAAAGGATGATAGCTCCTTTCTTGTCTGTTGACTATAAGGCATGAAATATTAGGTTTATGTTCTGGAAAAAATATCTGTCTCAATGACATAGGCAAAACAATGCTGTATTTCTTAGACATTCCAAGCTGATCTCTGAAAAACTGGATTTCTTTTGGTAAGTAAGGAAGAGTAAACAGATAGTAACTGGAACAATACTTTGGGCCACAGATTCTTGGCTTACTGTTCTTCTGATCTGGGTATGCAATTTGTATAGACTTTTTCATCCATTAAATCCTGTATATTTAGTACTATAGAAACTTAAATTTTGTAGATAAGAAAATTTAGGATTAGAGTATTTACAGGTGGTACTATCACCAAATTATTAGCTTTAGGAATTTTTGAATGAAGACACCTGCAATGCTAATTGTTAGAGGAAATTAATGAATAAAACATTTTTCTTCTACTTTTAAATTGAAAATGAAATAGTTATTATGTATGACTATTACAATATAGTTATAATTTTCATGTAATTATTTCAATTGTTAAAACATCAAAGCATTTATTAGTGATGACTACATAAGATACTTTAATGTTAGGTTTAATTAGCCTTGGATCTTGACAGGATATGGGATTGTTTATCTAATATGGCTTCAAAGGTTCTGTTTCTCAAAAGCCCATATAGAGGCAAGCTCTCCCATGATGGGGAATGGTCCTCTGTGTATATGTTTGTCTTATTGGTTGACGAATAAAGCTCTGTTGGCAAATAGGGAAGAAGATAGGTAGGACTAGGAGAGGTGGAGGATTCCGGGAAATGGAGGCACAGTCAATCACCATGCAGGATATGAGAGGAGTAAGAGGTCCATATCCTTTCTCTGGTAAGAGAAGACTACATGGAAATACTCAGATTAGCAGTTTTGGGTTAATTATTAAGTCAGAGCTAGCCAGCAAGAAAACATAGCAAACGGCCAACAGCTTCTTAATGAATATAGTGTCCTGTGTGTTCTTTTGGGACTGATGCTGCTCTGGGACCAGGCTGGCAGGAAGAATGCTGGTTACATTCCCACAGCAATGACTGATTTACAAATGCTCCATCGGCATGCCTATAGGCTAATTTAATGGAGTGATGTTTTTCAGCCCTCTTCCCAGATGACTGTCACCACATTAACAAAATACTAACCAGTACAATTGGCCCCTCATGAAATTGATATACAAATAGATCACTATTAAACTCTTAAGTTTCTCCTGTTTATGACCAAGAGCTCATAACATCACAATATAAAACATAACTTTATGCTTTCTCACTCCATGAAGGAGGAGTCAAGAGACAGTTACAACCAGCATTCAGCAGTGGAAATCAAATCCTTTGCCTAAGTGTGCGGTGTTTTGAAACCCCATTCTTATGTGTTCTGAAGCACTTGGGGAACTCCATTTATTCAGCTCTGCCACCCATGGTACATACAGCTTGTGTTGTAGGCTCAAGCTAATTCTGCTCTACACCTGCCACTATGCCTTGTGGTCATCCCATTGGCCTGGAATTTTCAAAATCATGGAGTCTCCACCGCACCTTCACCAATAGCATCTTCTGGTCCCTTTTCATGAACTCCAACTTTGCCATGTGAGGAGAAGACCAGTTTCTTTCCATTACTCCTTCAATAATTCAGATTCCATGCCACCAAAGATGGAAGAGTCTTAGTTTACCAAGTTTAACTCCATTTTGAGGTGCAGTCTTGGTTGCCCTGGGACATAGTTGTGTGCTGACTCTGAGGAAAGACTTCTCAGAAGTTTCCACGTCAAAGATGCTCTCATCAGTCACAGCTGAGTTTTCAGCCCCAGATAACCAGAATCTACTACTGTCCAACTGATACAACATTTTACCTAAGTGGCCCTTTTTTTATTAATTGCAAAGTATTAATCGAACAGTCCCAATAGTCCTCGAGGGGTTCTCAAACATCCCTTTGACACTTCACATTCCAGGCTTTCATTATAGGCCTTTCTCTCTAGATTCTTATTTTCCAAATGCCACTGAACAGCATATTAAGCTTCAAGTAGTCAATGATTTTCCAGCCCAAACCTTCAAAAACTTTCACAATCCTGCCAAAAATGTTGTGGTCAAGTCTGTCATAATAGCCCATTCTCTGGTACCTATTTCTGTTGTACTTTCTATTGCTGTGATAAAATACTGGCAAAACAACTTGGAGGAGGATTATTTCATATTACAGATTACAGTCATCCTGAAGGGAAGTCAAGGGCAGGAATTCATGTCAGGAACTGAAGCAAAACTATGGAGGAATGCTGATCACTTTCTTATTTCCCATGGCTTGCTTAGTTTCTTTTCTTATACAACCCGTGACTAGCTCCAGGGACTACACCACACACAGTGGGCATAACCCTCCCTTGCCAATCATTAATCAAGAAAGTGCCACATGCTTGCCTCTAGGCCCATCTAATGAAGGCATTTTCTCAATTGAGGTTTCTCCTCCTAGATGAGTTTAGCTTGTGTCCAAATTGACAAGAAAACTAACCAGATCAAATACAAAACAAATTATCTGGGTTGACTGAAACTTCTGCCAACCATAAAAGTTTGTTATTAATGCAACAAAATTGCAAGTGGGGAATCTCTACCACTAGAAAAACTGTGCTTGTTTTTAGAGACTGTTCTATGGTTATATAGCTGTGTTAGCTGACTCATTATTTTTCCTTTTATAAGTACAGGTATACTTGACAGCTATAAATATTCAATTACTTAATGAGTTAATTGTGGTGTCAGTGATGTAAGAGAATCTTCATGAAAATAACATTGTAGTCATTTCTTATTAGTGTTATGTATGCACACTAGAAATGAAGTACCTATCTTTTCTCCAGTTTTAAGAGTAATTTGTGTGTTAGTTACTCTCTCTTTTGCTGTGATAAAAATATGACACAATTTCAGGAGGAAGGTTCTATTTTGGTTCACATTCTGAGAGTATTGTCTATCATGGTGAGGAATCTTGGTGGCAGGAATGCTAGGCTGCTGGTCACATTATGTCTGCACTCAGGAAGCATAGGACAATGAATTCTTAGTCCCAGCCTTAGTTATTTTTTATTATTATGCAGTAGTCTAGTCTGCAGACTGTCCCGAGTGGGAGACTTTCCCACCTTAAGTAACCTAACAGACAATCACTCAAATGTGTGCCTAGAGTCTAAGATTGCCTAGGTAACTCTTCAGTCATTTCTGTTCATATGTCTACCACATTATTTTAAGTCCCGTTTACTCACTTCATAGTTAGCGTAGGAATTATTCAAAATACATGTAGTAATTACATGCATGTTCAAAACTGTCTGGAATTCAAAAGTTGTTTTGGAAGATAGTACAACATATTTTGCAAAGATGTTCAATGAAATGGCATAACATTGAAATTTTAACTTGGTTCCTGCTTCAAACCAAGAAGAGACTAATAATTTTCAACTTCAGCCTCAAGGTAGTCTTCTTTTATTTGGAGCAGGGACAAACATAAGCATACTGAAAAACTGTATAAAGGTTTGAATCTACACTTGACCAAATATGTACTCTTAATGATTAATTACTGTCAACAAAATTCTTAGATTATGCTACCTGTTAATTGTTAATCTTTTCTGTGATTGCTAAATTGTCAAAGTGTTTCAAAATGACTCTAAAAATTGTAGTAAAGACAAGATCTGAAGGTAGAACCTGTTATCTTGCATTTACTTATTATTCTGAAGAAGGCTTCTATCTATATTTAGCATCAGTGATATAGGTGACTTATTTTTAACTCTTCATTAGATTTTTTTTGGTTTTTCGATACAGGATTTCTCTATGGCTTTGGACATTGTCCTGGAACTAGCTCTTGAAGACCAGGCAGGTCTGGTCTGGAACTCACAGAGATCTACTTGCCTCTGCCTCCCGAGTGCTGGGATTAAAGGACTGCGCCACTACTGCCCAACTCTTTACTAGATTTTTTAAAAAATTTCATTTGCATAATGAATTACATTAATTTTTTTAGAACACAAATCATTAAACCTTGCCTTAGTAATATACTAGATTTTCTCAGAATCATGTTCAGTAATTTGGAAAAATAATTTGTTGGTCTCATAAATTTTGTAGTACATGTTATCTGTTAAGAAAATGGCTGATTACTATCTAAATATTAAAATGTGATTTTTTCTTATTTATTGTAGGTTTTATTGGGATTTAATAATGCTAATAATGATGGTTGGAAATTTGGTCATCATACCAGTTGGAATCACATTCTTTACAGAACAAACAACAACTCCATGGATTATATTCAATGTGGCATCAGATACCGTTTTCCTATTGGACCTAATTATGAATTTTAGGACTGGGACTGTCAATGAAGACAGCTCTGAAATCATCCTGGACCCTAAAGTAATCAAGATGAATTATTTAAAAAGCTGGTTTGTGGTTGACTTCATCTCATCAATTCCAGTGGATTATATCTTTCTTATTGTAGAGAAAGGAATGGATTCGGAAGTTTACAAGACAGCCAGAGCCCTTCGAATTGTGAGATTTACAAAAATTCTCAGTCTCTTGCGTTTATTACGCCTTTCAAGGTTGATTAGATACATACATCAATGGGAAGAGGTAAGTCACATGTTTTTTTTCTTAAAGTTACTGTACCATGTAATTTTCATGATTGATTATTTGAATATGGATATTAATTGCAGAAAATTTAAGGACAAATAATTCCAAGTGTTCTCTTTTCTAGTATTGAAGTGATATTTGTATCTCTGAAAGATTTGAGCCAACTGAAAATGATTATAAAACATTCTACTAATTGAATGTATTTTAAGCAAATGCAGTTTAACTGCAGTTTCCTAGTCTCCCATGCTGTGGCAGATCATTTTTATTTAATAAGAATATATCAAATTTCATCTTTGACAAAGATGTCTAGGATTTGATTGGTAATCTGTCATTATGTATAACAATGCTGATATATGTTTCTAACAATATTGGAATTTCAGTGAATTTATGCATGAGGAAAATACATGTCTCCTTGGTTTTCTCTCAATTCTATAAATTCATATTTGAGCTTAATATGCTAAACCTGCTCATTGTTTTCTGTTGCCTACAGTTATTCATTATATCTTTCCCCAATAAGTTCATTTCATAATAGCGAAAAAAACACCATACCTAGGAAGGAAATTACTACACAGAAAACACAAAAGAATAAATGAAGTGAATCTAGTCAGTTAGCTGTCTTTGCTGCTGAACAGGGCATCTGCTGTTCTTAGTCAGTGGGTGGGATGGCGAGAGAGCCCTGCCAACCAAATTTTCCAAAGGTCTGAGTTAAATATACCACCATCAAGCAAATAAGTACCTCTTTCCACAGCTAGTGTATTAACCTTCTTTGGCTTTTTCCTTCAAATGCATGGCTCTTTGTATTAATTATAAACTGAATTTTATTGCCTAAGAACGAGAGCTCAAAAGACCTCCGGAGTACCTAATGAAACACTCTAACGAATGCAGTACACTGACTATAGATTGTTGTTTGCCTCCTAAAGAAATGGCTTTTAGTATTTTAAAAGCTAAATTATGGTTTTAAGGAAGTCATGAAATACAAATTTTATTTATTTTCTGGGCAGCTGTAACAATGTTTTTCTGCATGCTTGTCAATGACATTTTGGTTCACAGGATTTCAGGAAATGACACACAATAATAAAACACTGCATAATACACCGATGAAAGCCATAAAATGGATCACTCTTAAAATATGGATCTGGATTGTATTTAAAATCAGATGAAGCATATTTGAGAAATTGGATTTACTCTCATCATTTCTATATATAGTACACACAACTAAATGGAAATTAATGTTCAGTTCTCAAAGCTCTTTTGCAATAATTTGAAAATAGCAATCCAGGATGATTCTTGATAATAACCAATATTTATAGGGACATTATATTAATGACAGGCAGTTGTTGATTCTTTGCACAAATTAACTTCCTGAATCTCCTCTACAACCCAATGAGATTGATTCTATTGTTGTCATCACTTTCAGATGATGACAATTAAACACTTTAAGGCTCCTTGCTGGGGTTCAGAGTCTAGTAAGGGTTGGAGCTGGGATTCTTATCATGGAAATCACACATCTCACTGTAGCTTTTGCTCTTTTCTTTATAAACATCCCATTTTCCCATCATTTGTAGACTGCTTATGGAACTGTATAGAGCTTTTCTTACATGAGAATGTGGTTATTGCAACATTATAAAACTAAACAGTTACTCTGAAAACAAAGGCACAAAAATATTTTGACACATAGTCAATGAAAAAAAAGTCATGGCTAGAGCTACATAGTCAATTAAAAATACAGTAGGCAGTGAGACTATTTTTTAATGGCTTTCAGCTAACCCAGTTATCTGAGGAATGACAGCAGGATGAACAGATGGCATCCTATCAGATAAAATGACAGATCATGTGGCCAGCGAGGACACTCCTTAACACCAACGTTTTCTGTTCCTGGCAATGGTCACAGGCACCTAGATTTGTGTGGCATGACAGGATTTTAAAGGTGCCCGCAATATCATTCAGAAACATCACCTGCCTGATATTATTGTTGTGAAATGCAATTTAATATGCACTTAGTGATGCTTGCTAACCACACGCATACAGGAGAGAGTTGTGAGTTGGCAAGATCTTCCTTATAAATAAATGACCTTGGTAATAAAGAATTCTGAAGCTCATTTAGCTGAAGAATGTTTTCTTGGTTATATGATACCCTCATATAATAATATATATCATGAATGTTTAATGACTGATAGCAACACTCTCACTAATGACGAAGAAATAGAATCACACTCCAGAATTTAATATAAATTCACTTATTCCATCTACATGATTCAAAATGTAATCACAAGGAAACTTGAATGGCTCCCAAATTGGCACATCTTTACCTGACTTTTCTAAATGCCACCAGGATGTGTTTACAAGTAGAAATACAACAAGTTAATTATCAGAAGTAGCTGTATGAGCTCTTGGATTAAGACTGTAGTGGGAGACGTGAGTTCACCCACATGTCTTTGAGTTCTGTGTGTTTTAGTACCAGGTTGGCTAATGCTAAATTCAGCAATTTGGGGAAGTCATGTGTGAAGTCTGGAAGCTGCCACAGTTCTAAATGAATCATTGGTAAGGAAAGCAGCTGCTATAGGGAACTGTGTTCATCTTTGGTGGTGCAATTTTTCCCTATCTCCGGTCTGGATTAGTTCAACTAGAATACAACAAGAAGCTCTGAAGCCAGATAAATTAGAGAAATATTATGAATGAGATGCAGGAAGTTTAACATTTACCCCATGTGCTACAGTGCTGCAGGTAAATGTGTAGGAACAAAGAGTTGATGAGAATGATCAATTTATAAATGCCCTGGGGTTAAGGTATCAAGAGGGGAAGTTCCTTTCTTAAGTCAATTGTATGATCAATGATTTAGAGTGTAAAGACTGAACTCTTTGACACTAGATTGAAATTTTATACACATTGTCAATGATATGGAAATATGAATAATTTATATAAATTAGGTTAGAAAAAATTCTTTTAGTAAAATCTTGAACAAATGAGTTTTTCTCACTGTTGTGCTTTGGTTTTTAAAAGTCATTCTCCTAAGTGAGCAATTTTACTTTTCTTAAGGTTGCCTTTCAAGTATGCCAGAGTTCCATGCCCGATCACTGTTTTATAATCTATCACAGGGGCAACAATTCTGTATGACCCTCCAAAAAGACACATATGGTGAGGAAATCCTTAGAAATTAAATGGAACATTATTAACAATTTGTGATGATCACAAACTGCTAAAGAGATAAAGACCAGATTAAAAGCTTAGCAAACAGGAGATTATTCACTGTATAAAAGTGAAGGGTTCTCAAAACCTCAAGTGCCCTTTTGTTGACCTCAGTCTTTTTGTCCAAGGGAGATGATCCCTGAAATGTTTTAGAGCCTTATAAAATATTAATTGAAAGCATAAACATCACTTTGTATATGGTTATTATGGAGTGTGACTACAATCCCAGAACTAAGTGGGAGACTGAGATAGGAGGTAGACCATGAGTTCCAGGCAGCCTGAGCAATGGAGTAAGAGCCTAACATAGAAGCAACAGAATGAAAAGTAATATTTGAAGAAAATGATTCCCTTTGTAGGGGTTATCCAATTGTGAGATTCAGTATTTCAACTTAACTAGACATTTCCTACCTGGATCATGTAAAAGGTGCAGTGCAAGCCATGATTATATAGTAACCAGAACTTTCTGGTAGACAGTGTATTTTGTTTAGTTCTCATTTCCTATCTCCTCACCTTCTTTTGTGTGGATTAGTAGACGTACTTTGAGTCAGGAAGGAAGGATTGTAGTTCTGAATATCTTAGGCATAGCAGTCGCAGTTAGATAGCTTGTTGGCATGCTACAGTGCTTTTTTTCTAATCAATACTAGATAGTGATGTTGGGTTAGAAAGAGATTTGTCTACAATTAGTGAACACTAACATGCTTGTTAAGGAGACAGTCTTATAGGAAACTAAGACACAATTTGGTTTCTTGTTTTTGTTAATTTTAGTGTGTTATTTGGTTCAGACTAAAACCTGACTCTTGATATATACTGTCTGCCTATTAAACATTTCAATATATTTTAAGCAATTTGATTTTTAGAAAACACATAAGTTTTCTCACAAGCAAATAAAGCATTTGCCCAGATCCATCCTCTACTAGAATGTAGAGAGGCTCACTTTTACCCATCACATCCTGGGTGTGAATGATGTGCCTTCAGGGCTTTCCAGAACACTGCACTCATTTCAGCATTGTATCTTCTTTGCAACAACATTTGATTGGTTTTGTTTTTTTTTCAGTAACTGAAAATAATGATTATTTCCATTACAGCAAGGTTGCATTGCAGCATCTCAGATTGGAAAGTCATTTTTTCCTGTTGTCTTTAAAAATTGATTCGAAGTCATTTCCAGAATGTATTCTACCTGGATGAGCTGTAATAGTCAGGACTGTTACACTGATGTATTCTACTGGTTCTGAGTATTTCAGTTTATGATAGTTCTATGTGCTGTCCTTGAATTTCCTAGACAAGTACATTTAGATGGAAGAGTCAATGTTCATTTTGCCAGTGAGTCTCCTTGTGTACTAGGATAGGATCTTAAACACAATGTAGGACAATGATATCTGTTACCCACATGGTAATTTAGGTGCTAAACCCATTAAATATATAAAGAACATTCATTTTTTTATGCTGAAGCATTTTAAAGTAGTGTTTACTTATGAATGGGTAACACATTAAAACACAAAGCAGATGCGGGAAAAGCAGACATGCGCGTATTTAATTGTAGATGATATGGTAAGTAATGACCCGAAGGAGGAAGTGAAAATCATTTCTACTGTACAAAAGAAGTTTTATAAGATACTTAAACTATATTTGAAGCTGGAATCTGGAACATCAAACTGAACTAGTGGGCTCGTGGAGCATAGCCTCACAATGGAGATACAAAATATAGGCTGCTTAGCAGTGCAACTGTGCATCTCCAGAGACAGCGTGAAAACATAGACTGGAATTCCTGTAAATACTAAACTAAGTAAGGTATCATCATGACAGCTTAGGCAGGA